GGCAACTTGGCAAGCCCTCATCTCTACAATAAATCAAAAATTAGCTGGATGTGGTGGTGCATACCTGTAGTTCTGGCTACTTGGAAGACTGACGCTGAAGGACCGCCAAAGGCCAGCAGGTCGATGCTGGGGTGGCTGTGAGGATGCCACAGCACTCCAGACTAGACAATAGAGTGAGACTTCAATTTAAAAAAAAATTTTTTTTCTTTTTGTAGAGACAAGGTCTTACAATGTTGCCTAGGCTGGTCTCTTGGGCTCAATCATTTCTCCTGCCTTAGCCTCCTAAAGTGCTGGGATAATAGACATGAGCCACTGTGTCTGGCTGCAATGAATTCTTAAGTATGAGAGCAAAAGCACAAGTGACAAAACAAAAAAATAGACACATTTGGCTTCATCCAAATAAAAACTTTTGTACATTATCAAAAAAAGCTAAAAGATAGCCTACAGAATGGGGGAAAATATTTGCAAGTCATACGTCTGATAGGGGTTTGATGTTCAGAATATAAAAGAATTCCTACAACTCAACAATAAAAAGTTAAGGTCAGGTATGGTGGTACATGCCTGTAATCCCAGCACTTTGGGAAGTTGAGGCAAAAGGATTACTTGAATCCAGGAGTTCAAGACCAGCTTGGGTAGCATAGTAAGACCCCATCTCTACAAAGTGAGCTGAGCATGGTGCCACGCGCCTGTAGTCCCAGCTACACAGAAGGCTGAGGCAGAAGGGTAGCCTGAGACTAGAAGGTTGAGAATGTGGCAAGCCATGATGCTGCCATTGCACTCCAGCCTGGACAACAAAGCCAGATCCCAACTCAAAACAAACAAAAAAAAAAATAGAAAGTCAAATGATCCAATTAAAAATGGACAAATGATTTCAATAGATTTTTTTCCCAAAGAAGATAAACAAATGGCCAATAAACATATGAAAAGATGCTCAACATCATTAGGGAAATGCAAATAGAAACCACAATAGGATAATACATCACATGCACTGGAATAGCTATAATTTAAAAAACAAATAGTAAGTGTTGACAAGGATATGAAGAAATCAAAAACCTCATATAATGATGGCAGGATTGTAAAATGATTTAGTTATGGAAAATAGTTGTCATTTCCTCAAAAAGCTAAACAGGATTATCATATGACCAGCAACTCTACTCCTAGGTATATACACCCCTAAAACTGAAAACAGGGACTCAAACAGAGACTTATATACCAATGTTCACTGCAGCATTATTCACAATCATCAAACAATAGAAACAACTCAAGTGTCAATCAACAGATGAATGAATGAACAAATTATGGCATATTCATATATACATATATACAATAGAATGTGATTTAGCTATGAAAACGAATGAAGTTTTGATATATGCTAAAACATGAATGAATCTTGAAAATATCATGCTGAGTGAGATAAGTGAGACACAAGGATAATTACATGACTTCACCTAAACAAAATATCTAGAACAGGCACATTCATACAGATAAAAAATAGATTAGAGGTTGCCAGGGGCTGGAGGCAGGGAAAATGGGAAGTTAGTGTTTAATGGTTACAGAGTTCCTATTTGGGATGATGAGGAAGTTTTGAAAAGAGATGATGATTGCACAACATTGCACATGTGATTAATGTTGCTTAATTGTACACTTAATAATGGTCAAAATGGAAAGTTTTATGTTATATATATTTACCACAATAAAAATACTTTAAAAACTGTAACAGGTTTTAATAAGAGACTTAGTGTTACTCAGTATCTTATTGAATATTAGCTACAAGCATCTCATATTGAAGTGTCAAAATAATTTGCATTTGGTAGAATGACTTTGTAGGCTGAGAAAATAAGAATTATACAGAAAGTATAAAGTATTAAACATAGTGTACCTCAATACTATAACTAAATTTTAGAGAACCATTATGTTATTCTAGAAAATATCTCACTATGCCACAGGCTGACTGAATAATAGGGCTAAACTGCTGTGGCAATTCTTTTTTAAAATTGTAATTATTATCCAATATTTCATTTTTTATAGCAGTCTTAAGTTCACAGCAAAATGAAGAGGAAGGTAAAGAGCTTTCCCATATATCCCCTGTCCCATACATTCATAGCTTTCCCCACTACAACGTCCCCCACCAGAGTGATGCATTTGTGACAACAGATACACACAACATACAACCTATACTGATACATCAAGACCACCCAAGGTTCATAGTCTACATCAGCTTCACGCATGGGGTTGTACATTTTATGAGTTTGTGCAAATGTATGATGGCATGCATCCCTTATGACAGTATCATAGAAAGTATTTTCACTGCCCTAAGAATCTTTTGGGCTCTGGCTCTTCACCCTTCCCTCTCTGCAACAATTGGCAACCCCTGATCTTTTTACAGTCTCCTTAGTTTTGCATTTTCCAGAATGTCACGTAGTTGAAATCACACAGTAGTGTTGCCTTTTCAGTAAGCTTCTTTCACTTAGTAATATACATTTAAGTTTCCTCCATGTTTTTTCATGGCTTGATAGTCCATTTCTTTTAAGTATTGAATAGTATTCCATTGGCTGGATATACCAGCTTATCCATTCACAACATCTTGATTGCTTCCAAGTTTTGGCAATTATGAATAAAGATGTTATAAACATCCATGGGTAGGATTTTACATAGACCTAAGTTTTCAGCACCGTTGGGTAAATACCAAGGAATATGATTGCTGGATCGTATGGTAAGAGTATGTTTAGTTTGGTAAGAAATTGCCAAACTGTCTTCCACAGTGGTTGTGCCATTTTGCATTCCCGCCAGCAATGAGTGAGAGACCTGGTGCCTAGCATCCGCGCCAGTATCTGGTGTTGTCAGTGTTCTGGATCTGGGTCATTCTAATTGATGTGTAGTGTAGTGGTATCTCACACATTGTTTTATTTGCATTTCCGAGTGGCAAGCCTTAAGTTCTAATATGACGGGGCCGGTGTAGGTTAGAGGCAAGACTACCAGACTCAGTCAGAAAACATAAGTGATTTAAGTCTGTCACTTATTCACTGTGACGTTACAGGAAAGTCATATAATTCTATTAACAACAGTCTTCTCATATGTAAAATGGGAATAATTATTGTGTATGTTCAAAAATTCAATAAAATAAGAAATATACATGAAATCAGTTAGTCAAGAGAGGAAGCAATTCAGCTGTTCATCCGTGGATGACTGGATACACAAAATGTAGTACATCCATACAATGGAATATGATTCAATCTTACAAAAGAAAGGAAATCCTGTCACACGCTACAACATGAATGAACCTTGAGGACATCATGCTAAATAAGCTTGTCACAAAAGGGCCAGTGCTGTATGATTTACTTACATGCTTTATATGTAAAGCAGTCAAAGGCATAGGCACAGAACTGTGGTTGCCAGGGGGCTGGAGGTAGAAGAATAGGGAGCTGTTGTTTAATGGATAGATTTCAGTTTTGCAAGATGAAAAGGGTCTGGAGATTTGTTGCACAGCAATGTGAATGTAAAGTACTTAACACTAGTCAACAGTAAACTTAAAAATGGTTGAAGTAAATTCTATATTATGTGTATTTTACCACAATTTTGAAAAGTTTAAAAAATCCAGGTTTGAGACTAGCCTGAGCAACTTGGCGAGACCTCATCTCTATAGTAAAAATCAAAAATTAACCGGGCACGGTAGCCTACACCTGTAGTTCCAGCTACTTAGAAAGCTGAGGTGGAAGGATCGCCAGAGCCCAGCAGGACGACACTGGAGTGGCCGTGAGTGTGCCACAGCACTCCAGCCTGGGAGATAGAGTGAGATTCCAACTCAAAAAAAAGAAAAGAAAAGAAAATCAATGTCAAATATATATGGCACAAATAAATAATTTATACAGTAAATGTGTGCAAAACTTAAATGGCCCCATTTCAAAAATTGACCATGTGAGGAAAATCACAAAGGAGAGAAAGCCCTGGCAATATACATGAACATTTAAATTGAAAATTGGGTGTCTGCGATTAAAGAGCAATTTCACATTAGCATATGAAATTATGACACAGTTTGGGTTTTTTTAATTCTCCAAGAGTTAAACTATTAAAATTTGGGATGCATTTTAATTACTTCCACCTAAGGCCTATAAAGTTATTTTATTATAAAACATAAGGAGTGGAAGAAACTCTAGGTCTTAATTGAAGGCAGTATCAGAAATAATAAATCTGGTTTACAATATCCCCACTGGCATTTTTTTTTTCTTAATTCAATTCTGCATGGAAGCACTAGCTTTATGAGGCTCAAGACGACATTGACCAAGCTAAGTTATTAGCCCATCAATTCACAGATGGGCAGGGCTCTATGCTGGCTCCAGGCAGGAAACACACGAATGGAAAAGATGGAGTCTGGGCACTCTGGAGTTTACAGCTCACTTGGGAGCAGGAACTAGACATAAAGGCATGCAGGCACATACACATACATACACACACGCATGTACATACAAGTATTACACATAACGAAACATTGACACGGCACAATAAATGGCTGTGTCAGTAGTAAAAACTGAGTACTCACATGAGGGGTGTCAAGCCTACTTTTGACAAAAACTTTTTTGTTCCAGAAGAGTTGTTTCTGAATGAAGTTCTCAAATCTCTTGAAAGTTGTGTCCCCAACATTCTAGGTCCTATGGGCAACTCAGAGTTTTTAAAAGTGACTCCCATTTTTATTACTTTCCAAAATTAATATCCGCAAAGGAGAAACAAAAGCAACATTTGGAAAACAAGTTTACCTTATAGTTAAAATATAGCCATCCTTTGGGACATGTTCCATGTTTTTGCGATACATCTTTCTCTTTCTCTAAGACCCAAATCTTTTTTCTCTTACAGATACTAGGCATGGAAACGGAACAGTCTTCACTACCCCAGAGTCCTGAGGAGAAAATGGGTTAGAAATGGCTTAGAAACAATAGTGACTCTCCGTAGGAATTCTTTATTGACCACTATTTGTGTGACTGCTATGGCTTTTCATAATGTATTTTTTTAAACCTAGAAACTGAACTAAACTGATCGTAGCATTCTCTAGTGACAACGGCTAACTGGGCAAGGTGCCAAATCAGTTATTCTAATTTAAGAATCTAGAAATTTTGCAAACGCAAAGAAAAAATGTCCAACCAAACAAACGCTGCAATTGAAATCACAGAGCTGATTAAAGTCCTAAGAATATCCTGCTTGGGTAGTAAAAGAATACTTTGTAGAGTAATAGTTTCATTTTAAAACACTCAGCTTCAATGTACAGTACAAGAGACAAGAGATTCTAAAACAATAGATGATCATTTCTATTTTGTAATTCTTTAGAAAATATAATAATTTAGAAAAATTAACTCAAGAACTTCCAAGGAAACAGCATTTCTTTATTGGCTCTTAAATAAAACAGATTCATATAGACATGCCCTCAGTAAGGTATATTCTCAAGTTCTTAGCCTCCTGTGAACTGACTTTTTTAAAAAAAATAGAACTGTATTTTCAGAGTAAGGGTTACAGAACGCATTTTGTTAACATTTGAGTTTTAAATTCCAGAACAGGGCAGGATGCATGCAAATTGTGAGGGCAGATTCAGTTTTTTAGCATCAGGAATATGAGCCAAAAAGATGTTGGCATTTTGAAGGAGGGGCTGAAACGCTAGTTTCAATGCAGATTAGCAGCTTTTCAGCCAGACTCACACAACAGTATTTTCTGTAGGCTGTTGTGACACCTGCTGGCAAAAATAAGCTGATTAACCACATGGATTTTCCTTTCTTAACTCTCTGCAGAGGCCCTCACACCAAGGGTTGCTTTTCACGTTCATTCCTCTCCTGACCTGGGGCACAGGTTAGTTATCAATCTGTTAGTGTAGGGGAGATGATGATCATTTATGGGTTAGAAAGAGGGGGTGAGGATGAGTGGACAACCAATCCAACAATAATATAAAGATGAGAGAAATTAAAAAATCAGTCTTCAACCTAAATGTGCTTCTAAATCCATCTTGCAAATAGTTGCAGTTCCAAGGCAAGCAGCAATTAATGCCAGGTATTTAAAAAAGAAAAGAAAAGAAAACTGAATTGAACCAAAATTTTTATTAAATGGAAAAAATGGAAGTAAGTTTCACAGAGGTGAAAGTTCTGGCTAATTATAAATTGGATACTAGGAATAGTTTTTTTAAAAATAGGCTCATATCGAAATTTCATAGAAAAGAGTTTGTCAGGTATATATATTTTTTTAACAATTTCAGTGGGTCCATTTTTGGTGCTGTTTTGGTTAATGAGGAAGGACTTATTCAGATATAAACTATTTTCAAGAACATGAATAGATGGATTAAACAGAAAGAATGACCGTTCTTAAGCCTTAAGACTGATGGAATTGAAGAAAAGAAAAATAATCAAACAGAACCTTCTCCCTGAACTGATGCAATGAAAGGGGACTTCAAGCCTCCTGAAAATTGTCAATCTGTATTATAAACTCAAAAGTAGATAAGTAAAATAACCTGTCATGGAAGAAATAAAGCCACATCTCAGGCTCTGATTATTCATAGGTCTTTCTCTTCCTTTCTCCCAGTTTTGGTATATTACAGGTGTTCCATCTCTCCAGCTGTAGGAAAATTAAACATTTTAAGACTTTCATTTTGCATGTTCAATCTCCAACACCATTCTTAGTGTTCTGGGGTATGAATTGAAGGTATAATATTTTATTAAATTTAAAAAATGCTTATGTGTAGCATAGTACCTATAGTTAACAATACTGTATTGTATACTTAAATTTTTTCTAAGAAGGTAGATTTTATGTTAAATGTTCTTATCACAAAAATGAATGAACAAATGAATAAATGAATAGGGTGGAAGGAAACTTTTGGAAGTGATGGATATGTTTACGGCATAGATTGTGGTGATGGTTTCATGGGACATAAAAAAGCACTTATGTCTTCGGTTAGGCAAATGAAAATTTATAAGTTAAAGATAATGTTTGAAGACTCTTCAACAAATTGATCACTAAAATCTATCCAATCATTTTGCAAATAAAATCTGTCAAACAAAATTAAATGCAAATTAATCTAGGTTTATACCGAAATTCATCATTGGCTCTTTCTTCTTGAAGTCCAATCCACCAATTTGCACCATACTTTGATAGCTATTAAAAGAAAAAAGGGAAATGTCAGCATTTATTCTACTTGTTTTCCTTTTTCACTATTAAGATTAATGGGGTTGCTGCTAATAGCTTTCTATTCTTCAATATTTTACCCAATTATCTGAAGAAAACTATACTAAGACCTAGCATCTTGAGAAAGCCTGAAACTTCATTATTCTAAAATATTCCTTCCTCATTAAGAAGGAAAATTGGAATTAAACATTGAAAATAATTTTAATTTTATACAACCCGAAAAGTAAATTTTCTAGCTCAATAAGAGACATTTAAAAAGTAACATTGTAAAATAATATATAAAATAAATTCATTTTCTGACTAAAAAAATTAGTGATTTATTCTCTCGGTGATTTATAGAAGTTCACTGCCTATATCACATCTATTTGAAAAACAATTCAAAGTACTAAGACAACAGTAGTGTAAAGATTTTGAATTTTAGGTATTATCTGATTGTTAAGCTTTAAACAGTATAACACCTTCTTCTCTCAAATAGAGAGACACAACACAGGACAAAAGAATATTACAGAATTTCCAGTGTTGGACAACTAGAAAATTATCTTTTATATATTTTATTAATTTTACACCAGTATTAATTACTTGGACCTAAGTACAATATAGTATAAAATTGAAACACCATGTAGAATGCACACACACACATTAGAGCAGATGTAATACTGGACTTATGACCCAGGAAATTGAAATTCCCCCTTTAACTATAAAAGACAATGAGGCAGTAAGGGGTTCTCTAAGACTTCGAAAACAGTATACTTTATGATGTGTGTGCTGTCTGTGTGTGTTGAATATAACTTAATTCTTACATGCTAAAAATATGTTAATTTGAAGGCATATACTTACATTTGCACTCTCATTTCTCCTGTAAATACTTGTAAATACTTCATTTTTTTAAAAGATGAATTTTATATCACTATACAACAGAACCTAATAGCCCACTAACGTTGTAATTTATAAACAGGTGTTTTTATTCCTTAAACAGTGTGGCTGTTTGCCATATCAGCAATTTGAGAATAATGCAAGATAGAGCAACTGTAATTTTGGATCCCTGGGGTGCTATTTCATAGATGTGTTCTTACATGCTGAGTTTAGATTCCCATTGTCAGACTTTGGAATGGGTCCATTGAGACAGGCTGTGAACTCAGTGGGAGAAACACAAAAACATCATTCAATCTAAAGAGATCTCACATGCAACAGGAGTAGAAAGCATGGCCTGATTGTTCACTGTCCCAATTAAGGATCTCTAAGAGAAATTATATATGCCATCCTAAGTGGCATATTTATTACCACCTCAATTATGGCATTGTAATCTTCCACACGGCAGTTTACAACCTGTTGTGATATGGCACAGAACTTTTGGAAGATATCCAGACTGAAAAATTCTACGTGAAAAATGGTTCTTTTAAGTTTTAGCTTAGGTATAAGGCCACAATGATAGAAGACTTATTAATATGTACTGAAAAATAAATATCAAACAAACATGCATTTTGTAACATCAGCTATTTTTTAGTATATACAAATAGCCATTATAGATAGCACTATATAGAAAGAATACTTACCAAAAAACAAAAACAAAAACAGCAACAGTCAGTATATTAATCTACCAAGCAATAAAAGCAAGATTAACTTGTCATCTTTGAAAATAGTCCCACTAAAAATGAAGAAGTCATTATTTTAATGGTTTAAGACTTCATATTTTGAAGGTAGACTAATAGATTTGGCACGTATTTTAGAAGTATTTAGAAATAAAATTTTAATAATAATGATAAAAATGTAATTTCAAAATGCCAGTTTTGCCTAACAGTGTAAAAATGTCAGCTAAGTGGACTAATGGCTAGTAGTTCCTGTCAAACAACTCCTAAAGTGCTTGAACTTTTTTTCAGCATTAATTGATTATCAAGATGGCTCACAAAATATATTCACTCTGATCATGTCTTGTGATCTTATTCAAAGTGTGGGAGAGAAAATGCTGACATTCTTTTTCCAAGATAAAAACATTTCGTTAAAAATTTTTTTACATCATACTTAAAAAGCTGTATCTAGCTTTCTTGTTCATGACTATTATTATTATATATATTTTTGAGTCAGAGTCTCACTCTGTTGCCCAGGTTGGAGTGCAGTGGCACAGTCATGGCTACCATAGCACTGACCTGCTGGGCTCAGGCAATACTTTCACCTCAGCCTTCTAAGTAGCTGGGACTACAGGTGAGTACCACCATGCCTGGCCAATTTTTTTGACTTATTGTATAGATGAGGTCTCGCCATTTTGCCCAGGGTTGTCTCCAGCTCCTGGGCTCAGGTACTCCTCTCACCTCGGCCTCCCAAAGTGCTGGGATTACATGCATGAGCCACTGCACTCAGTCACCATTTTTTTGACATTCCTGCTGAATGTTATTTTTGTTTTTCATGATTCTATTCACTACTCTTCATAGGAGAGCTATACAAAGCACATTTGTAATTTTAAAAAATATTTAATTACTTATTCCCATTCTTCCTACATTTATAGAATGGGTGTGTTACAAAAGCAAGTGGCATGACTTCTATATGTTTGGCTCCTCATCCAGGAATAAAATAACTTCTTCTGCATTGACTCATTCCAGTAGGACATTCTTAGGCATAAGATTTTTTTTCCTTATAAAATATAAATGCTAACCATATACACTGCTGTCACCACCACCTAGAAAATGTGCCCAAGATAGTCACAAGGTATGCAACAATAAAAATCACTTGGAAATCTACAGTTTTCTTTTTTCTAATTTGATGCCCTTTCCACTTGGCCTTTGCTATAGACTAAATGTTTGTACTCCCTGAAAATTTACATGTCCTAATCCCTAAGGAGATATATTATAAGGTGGGGTCTTTGGGGTGATTAAGTCATAAGGGAGGGGCCCTCGTGAATGGGATTAGTGCCCTTATAAAAGGGATCCCAGAGAGCTCTTGTTCCTTCCACTATGTGAGGTCACATATGAACCAGAAAGTGGGTTTTCCTCAGACATTGAATTTGCCAACAGTCTACCATCTTGGACTCCAGAACTCCAGAAATATGAGCAATACATATCTGTTGATTGTAAGCCACACAGTCTGTGGTGTTCTGCTACAGCACCCTGAACGGTCTAAGACAATCCCATGGTCCTGTTCTCAGACTCCACATCCTATACCCTCCCACAATTTTCTTTGTAGTATTGCGGGATGTTAGATCACTTGACAGTTCACCCATACGTGACACTGACAGGATGTTCTATACTAACATGGTCTTAGATTGGGTGTCAATTTTGCCATATAAGATACCACAAGGTTTGTCTTATTTGATATCAGTCCTCAACTAGATCGTGGCATTGGCTACGACTTAAACTACTAAGTCCGTAGGGTTTCACTATTCCCTTCTAAGGAAGGCACCAACTTCACCATTCCCATTGCCTTCCTTCCCAACTCCCAAAGATTAGGAGAGAAATTAAGAGGAAAAGTGAAGATAGAAGACCTACAGAAGTTCCCAGGGAATCTAAGCTCTGCTGGAAAGATCAAACAAAGCCTTTTGTTATTCACGTCTGTGACAGAGCTGGCAGCCATCTTTTGGGGAGGGATTTTGGAACTATTATTTTAATGTAATGGAGACACTGGGCTTTTATATCCCCCTAACATTGCTGTTCCACTATGCAGGCAGCACCATATAGGGTTTTTCAATGATCTTGAAAGTCAGATGGCCTGGATTTTTTTTTCTAAATTTAAAATTCTAAGTTGCTTAAACTCTTTGAAGTCTTAGCTTGCTGATCTGTAAAAATGTTCTAATAAGAGACGTCCCACTGAGGGTTTTTGGAAAAATTAAACGTTAGTACTTAGCACAGTGCCTGATACTGTTAAGGTCAGGATGGCCAAATATCAGTTCTTTCTGGGATGGACACTTTGCAGCCCATTGGATTGGTTTTGAGACATTCACTTGACCTCTTGCTACTGCCACCTGAGGTGAGGAGTCTGGTGTCTGGTTAAAGGAACACGTATTTCCTGACATGATGTTATGCAATTTGTTGCTATTGAACATTATGGTTTTGGCTTGAGTGTTCCATCTGTAGAGTGAAAGAGTAACAAAACAGCATACAAACTGTTGGCGGCGTACATTCCACATATAGTAGTTGTTCTGCAACTGAGTGTCTGTGGGACCCTGCAGTTGTCACATAACCCTTTTGTTTCTCAGCTTTTCCATCATAATGCTGCAGGAGTTCCAACCTGCCTGAACCTCATGTTCAGGCAGTATGTGAACAGGATATAGAAACCTCATGAGCTGTGAAGGAAGACGGTTCTTTCAAGCTTAGGATGCATTATTATTGAGCTTTCGTTTTAACAATCAACTTATGAAGACAGGAAAAGATGACAGAACTAGAAAGGATTCCTGGAGATCATGAAATATGGTTCAATTATAGAAAAAGGAAATGGTTTTATCTTACTTTCAAAGAGCTCCTAGGGAAAGTTGGGAATGAGGTCTTCCCTCCTTGGTGACCCCAGGGTAATGTGTACACAAGCTCCTTTTTAACTTTCTATACCACATCATATCTAGCTTTTTTGGTTATTTTTAAATCTTATTTTACTTTATTTCAATTTTTTTAATTGAGATAAATTTGAATGTGTGTATTTATTGTGTGTTACATGATGTTTTGAAGTATGTATATTCAGTTTTTTAAAAAAACAGAGACTGTATCTCTTATATTTCTGTGTCCTTCACAAATATCACAGTGCCTGACACATATTTGGTGCCTATTGAAGGAATATCAAAAGTTTATTATTTAACAGTTATCGCATGCTCCTTTCTTTCTTTTTTTCTTTTTTTTGAGTTGGGGTCTCACTCCATTGCTCAGGCTGGAGTGCAGAGGCACCATCATAGCTCACTGCAGCCTCCAACTCATGGGCTCAGGTGATCTTCCACCTCAGTCTCCTGAGTAGCTGGGACTGCAGGCATGTGCCACCACACCTGGGGGAATTTTTTATGTTATTTTATTTTTTGTAGAGACGAGGTATCACTATGTTGCCTAGGCTGGTCTCTAACTCCTGGCTCAAACAATCCTTCCACCCTGGCCTCCCATGCTGGGATTACAGGAGTGAGCCACTGTGTGTGGCTTCCTTTCTTATTATCTTAGTTCCACAAAGGATTAAGTATTCCTAAGTTTGAAATGGAAAACTACCATTTTCTGAATTTTAAGTCTTTACAAATTAAAAATAATGTTCTCTTGTAAGCAAGATTTAAAACTTTAAAACTGCCATATGTCTCCAAGCACTCCTTGTCCCTCATTTGAGCTTTATTTTCCTCCATGGTCTTTATCCATCTATCTTTTCCTAATAATTGTATGACTCTGCTTACTTGTATTGATTATGGTCTTTCTTCCCAGACTAAATACAAGCCCCATGAGGACAGGAATTTTGGTCTGTTTTAATCATTGATGGAACCCTAGTCCCTAGAAGGCACTCAGTAAATATGTTTTGAGTGATTGGATGAACCTCACAAAACAATAAAACTCTACTTACTCACCACTGCTGCCAATAAAGAATGAAGAGAAGTGAAATGACTGAGCAACATAGTAAACCTGTATCTCCATTATTGTCTCTTAATCTCTATCACAAGAAGAAAAACAATTCTCAAAAATCTATGCCTTTTACTGAATCTTAAATAAATGTCTGAAGTAAAAAAAAAAAAAAAAAAAAATCCCTGCCCCTCCCCCAAGGACAGAAGAAAGAACTAAACTCTGAATTTCTCATGGTGAGTTATGTTCAAATACCGCTTTTATTTTGCTGTGGATGAAGTTCTGTTCATGTGCAGAATGAATTGTGAGAAGGTCACTGCGCAGCCAGCCACAGACAAACTCGAAGGACAGCCATTCTGAGGCATAGGTATGAAAAAGGTATTCTGCATCCTGATAAAAGAGCCAGGGGGCATCTGAAAGAAAAATAAACAATGCAAATCATGCCAAAACTATTGAGAGACAGAATGCAGACTTAAAGAAGGTATGCTATGATTGATCCTCACATGTGATTTGATCACACAACATTAAAAAAATTTGTACACACACATATGAATACATATACAGACACATGCACATAAACAAATATGTAATTTCCTTTTTTCCCCCTTGGTCTCCCTTATGCCAGAAACTTTCACTAGTATTCAAAGGGCAGGGATAGATACATATTTTAAAATCACATGTCATAAAAATGAGTGAAGATATTGGTCTTTAATCATATTTAATAACCTACATTTATTAATTTGATTATTTATTAACTTGAACATATTGGCTCCAGGTTGACACAAGAAAAGAGAGGCTCTATTGGAGAAAGGCAGCAACCCATTGGAGTATATAGTAGCATTTATATGGTATATAATTAGAAAACTCAGGAATCACCAGGGTAGTTCTTACCGTACTGATACCAGGATGGAATCTTGGGTCTCACATCTGCAAAGTGAAAGCAAACCACTTTGATTAACCTTTCTTCACAGGTGCATTGCCTTTAAATGACTTCAGCTCTAAACACATCCTTTTTGCCCATCATCTTTTAAAAAATCATTTAAAAAACAGGTATGTTGAGCTGTTTAGAATATGTGGTTAGCTTCATCATAGAAGAGGAGGTGTCAGAGAGGCTTCTGAATAAAGAAGGGAGGACACAACACCTATTGACAGCCTCCCGTGTGTCACACACTGTGCTAGGTGCTTCCACTTACTCATTTTGCAAGTAATTCTGTTTGATTTGTAATGTCGGGGTGACATTTCTTCTGGACTGCATTTGCACAACAAAATATTCCACAATTTAGCTGGTTACCTTCATTCCCAATAAACTAACATAGCATACTGCATTGGTGTCATTTTTTTCTCATTTCCTTATATTTTTTACTAAATATTGCAGTTTGGTTCACATTCAGGCCACTGGTATTGTGGTTCAGGTTCTTAAATTTTAGATCTCTGTAGTCCTTTACTTGGGAAAGTGCTATACATTATTAGAAATCAAACACATAGTAAAGATCTTATTAATATTTGTACCTCTTTGAATTTTGCATATCCATTCACGTTTGGAACCACAGTGCAAGGGAAGCAATGTTTTGTTTGCTTTATACACAGCACACTTTCTTGCATCTTCTTCAAAATAAGTATTGTCTAAAAATGAAGAGACAACCTGCAGCAGATGAAGTTCATTATTCCTTAATGATGATCCACCACAAAAAATTTCAAAAGATCAAAAAAAACATCCCTGTACATAATCATTACAGACTTCTAGAGAAAGCTTCAGAAACAACTGAATGTCATTCCAGTTCAAGGTTGTTTAATATTTGTGAAGAACAAACTAATCAATCTTTAGCATTTTTGTTGAATTTGCTTTTTCTTTAAAAAGAGGCATGCTACTCCTTTCTCAAGAAACAAATCAGATATGAGCTTCATGCTGAACTTGAACTGTTTTCTACTTGGCAGAATTCTCTAGCCCTAGGATCCCGGGTAACCTTCTTAGAGGTTCGGGAATGTGAGGATTATCTTTGATGTAGATTATTTTGCGTTTATGCTAAACTTTTAGTCTCTTATAACCAAATTCTAAGCCATAGCTAACTTTACTCCGGAAACTACCCAACATTCTCCATGAGGAACCACATAACTCATATAATTCACATAAGTGTATTAAATAAAGATCCAACCTTTTCAATTATTTTTGACTATCTGACAGGAGAGCGAATGGAAGTAAAATTGGGGCTAAAAACTCAGAAAAAAGAGGATATTTTGAAACCATTTATGTTCTTCCTCAAACATGTACACAGTCCCGCAACAATTCATCAAACTCAAATATACATATATATCCACAGGTCAGGAAATGGAGTGAGTTTGAATTCATTTTGTCCAGTGGGGAGTGGTGAGACACTCAGTCCACTGCTTCATGGTCTTATCACATTTATTCTGAAGCAAATTATCTTTTCCTCTCTTATTACTAATGAGTTTGTCTTACTAAAAATAAATAAATAAATAAAGTGTTCTCAACCTCTATGTATCACATTTCGTTTTTCTTTTCTTTTTTTTTTTTTGAGTT